GTCTTATTTGGTGAAATTAAATTAATTTGTTTTCATTTCTTAAAGTCCTATTCCAAACATGTTAAAATGTTAGGTAATTAGTCACATTGTAGATTGTGAAAAAGTAAATTCTGATCACAACAATCTATAACTCCATTGTTACATTTTTAATCCCTGAAAGCTGGATTCCAACGAAGGCGTCGAAAACGACCTCCTTTAATCCGTTAAGGTCAATAACTGTGCCTTCGAGGGAATAAACCCCCAAATTATAGCCATATACAACAAATAAACACAATGACATTATTTCTGACGAGCTGCACAGATACACAACAGGGTTCTTTAAAATATGGAATTCAACTTGTCGGCATGCCTTGTATTTTTCTTAGCTTAGCGCTAAGTAGTTCAGGGTTTCTTCTGCCTAATGGAGATTTTGTTTCAATCAAATTTTTCCAGCATACTTGATATGATGGATTCCTTGGAATAATTTGAAAGATATAACGTTTTAAAATGTCACTAACATTTGTTGTTGTTAAAAGCATTTGTGTTCTATTATACGATTTAAGAACAGCATATTATGGGGTAAGAAATAAGCTCTAAGGTTTAGAAAGAACATATATCTGTGCCTTTTCAGGCATTGGAAATTCAGCTGTGGATACAGTGATCCAAAGTTGACAATCTTGCTAAAGTTGAGTTATTTGCTAAATATACACTATTGTATGAGTATCAAACAAACACACATATTTCGCTCTCCGCATACATTTAAGCGGTGTTTAGACGATACAATCAATCCATACAACCGTCGGATGCAACATATTGTACGACTGTTTACACAATTCAATGATCCAAACTTCTAATCTATACATTGTATGGCAACATTGACATTTGTTCCTCCTTAGTAACTCAATAATTTCGCAGTAAGGCGACGCTTCTCACCCCCGTCTTGGTGTAGATGCCGCGGGCTCCACATAGTCCATATTTCGTATACAATGTTATGTAGCACCATAGGTCTTTTGTCTGACGTGGAGAGCGGGCGATGCCAGAAACCGGTCGCCACATCCTACATACGACTCGTGCATCTTTTCTTACTACATATTTCTGTAGCCTTGTGATCGTCTAGAATATTTGTCTCTAGCTGTCTTTACTTCTTACTGTTTTCTTATGACGTTTGTCTTACCAGGAATAACAATGCAACAGCGTTTCTACATTTTATATATATAGCTGCATAATATGGATACAAGCACAAGCATAGCAATACTAGCTAAAACCATTTCCCCACCCTTGCCAGCCTCACGGCTGTATAGGAACTCAGATGGAACCCCTCTGGAATCTAATGGAAGTCTGACTTAAAGTTTAATATGATTTCGTTATAAGACTTATGGATATCATGCACAAACAAGTGTGGTCATGACCCGGAACCTGTGCAATTAACGATATGATTGGTTAAATTAAGCCAAATGATGCATTGGTAAAGTTCCATGCACGTGATATCTGATGGTATTTTATAGACACATGTTTTGGCTAAATAACTATTTTTTATAGAACAATATGTCATTTAAACCCTAAGTTGATTTAGTACACACTACATATGTGAATATGTTTGAAATTACTAACTTGCCAAAAATATCAATTAATGAAATATACTGCCACCATTAATTTCAAGAGCAAAAATTCTAGCTATATTATTACATTCGTCCCTCTCTTAAAGACTGTTTGCTCGGTATTAGGTAGAGTTATATAAGCATTCATAAATGTAGCAGAAATCTCGAAAATCGACATATATAATTATCACCTCCCCGTCTTCTAAGATTTATGCGAAATGAAGAGGTAGGAGACTCTTAAAATCTGCCATGTACTAAACCCTATAATTATTCATGCACATATATATGATTACTATACCATAAAACAAAGCTATGAAATAAAAACACAAATAATCAAAAATAAAAAGTCAAAAGTTGCATGCAAAAGCTCTCCAAAAAGTTCATCACTGTAAAATCCTATGAAAATTCACTAAGCCTAAGCACAGAAAACACAAATTGTCTTTGTTAAATCTTCAAGTGTCCTAATTTCAAAACACAATAACACATCACGTAATATTTTATAAAGTTCAGTGTCACTTTAACTTCCGTCTCAGGAAATCTAAATTTGGTAAACTGGTAAACCATTTCTTCTTCTTGGATTTGTATTGGTCTGTATCAGCTACCATAATATCAAGTTGAAAACTTTCTTTTTTGTTCTTCTAAGTATGATTGGTTTGTACAATTTTATCCGTCAATTAAACATGTCATTGCCATCAGATAAAGAACTTATTACTACTAAATCTTTAAAACTTTATTTTGATATTAGTCTAATATTATTATTAATATATTATTCTGAAAACTTATTAGCAAATCTTACTCTTAATTAAAATTAACTTTATTTAATCATTAATAAACTTTGATCTGTCCCTTTAATTATAAAACTTCAAACTAACTTTGACCTCATGACCTTACCTTAGTAATCTACAATTGTATAATTTCCGTTTCTGTTTTAGAATTCCGCCATTATTATTTTACTAGCAGAATACCCGGCTTCGCTCGGGGGTCATAACTTCGAAACCGGAAGTGGTAGACTAACGCCACCTGGCCTATGTTACTCCCCGGTCCGAGCTACCCCTATACCCCGAACAGACAGACAGACAAACGACAGTCACAAATATATATATAGATAGATATTTCTCAGTCAGTAATGTGACCTTTTGACCTAATCATATTAATCTACGATTTGGTATGTGAGCTAACACAAATACACCAATACATGAAACAGGTCGCGCGTTACCTATTCCATCATTAGTATTATACTAGCAGGATACCCGGCTTCCCTCGGGGGTCATAACTCCGAAACCGGAAGTGGTAAACTAACGCCACCTAGTCTATGTTACTCCCCGGTCCGAGCTACCTCTATACCCCAAATTTCATACTCGGGGCAGACCTAGTGTAGCTGCCAACCCCGAACAGACTTCGCTCGGGGGTCATAACTCCGAAACCGGAAGTGGTAGACTAACGCCACCTGGCCTATGTTACTCACCGGTCCGAGCTACCCCTATACCCCAAATTTCAGACTCGGGGCAGACCTAGTGTAGCCGCCCACCCCGAACAGACAAACGACAGTCACAAATATATATATAGATATTTCTCAGTCAGTAATGTGACCTTTTTGACCTAATCATATTAATCTACCATTTGGTATGTGAGCTAACACAAATACACCAATACATGAAACAATCGCGCGTTACCTATTCCATCATTAGTATTATATAAACATTATTTAGAATACAACTATGTTGAAGGAAATGGTTGCGCACCCACTCCCCCCAAACACCAGTCAATATTTATATAAACATTACAATCAGAATATACCTAACTTTTAATGACACATACAGTTAACTATATCCTATATATTGTGACTTTCACACACGTCAAATTTAACAGTGTTAGAACCTATTGTTTATAATAATCCGACCTAATGTCAAATTACACATTCCTAACCACCTCGCATTAACAATTTAAAGCAAAATTTAATTAATGACATAATAGCATTTATCAAATATATATTTAACGTTTATATTACGTTTCTAAAGCAAAATTTAATTACACAAAATTATATACGGATAAAATTACCGTATACCTCCACTTTTCTAAAAAGTGTCGTATGGTTACCTTAACCTCGTATTAAACTCGTATTAATGACTTTGCGATAATCTCACAATTTAACGAGCCAATAATTTTAGTTTTTCCCCAGGAAAACTATAACCTACATCCCTATATTTAACTATATGGGATTTTTTCCATAACCTAACTTTTTATTCAAAAGTCAAATTACTTAATTTTGAAACCTTGGACTAGAGATTCAAAATTACGCTACTCTACTTATTTAGCCACATATATGGACAACACAAAAAGACAAATAATAGCAATTCAACTTTTTATTTAAAAGTTAAAATTACTCAAATTTAGTTTAACCCGACTAAAACTAAAATCTTGAGACTTTGGACTAGAGTCCGAAAATTACATTATATACGAAACAACAAAACACACACGGCCACCTTGGAAACTAGAGTTAATCACTCACAAACGTTATTCTTAGATTTGCCATTTTTTTTACTGCGATCCGGAGACAACATTAGTTCCTTATTTTATTCCCTATTCCGTTTCCTTATCATTATTATTCCTTAGTTATATCAAAACATTTTTTTTTTAAACCTACGCCCTAGAGACCCTCAATTTAACTTTAATTTTACTCTAATTTACTACAGGTCAGTTTAACCTGATAATATACACACCTAACTAGTGATATTATATTATTTAATAATCCTATCAATCTCAACTTATGAATGATTATATTTTATTCTCTATATAGCTGCATAATATGGATACAAGCACAAGCATAACAATACTAGCTAAAACCAAAATTACTAACTTGCCAAAGATATTAATTAATGAAACATACTGCCACCATTAATTTCAAGAGCAGAAATTCTAGCAATATTATTACAGTTATTAAATATTCTAATTCAGTCGCGGATAGGTTTAGAATCAATTTTATAGGACGTCAAAGTACTCGAAGCGACAGTCAAAGACATCTTTAATCAGGAATTCAGGTTGCCAAGCCATACATCACATGGCGTTGTCTAATATAACGCAATTTGATTGGCTATTGCATGAGTTGGACATGAATATAACTGATCCTATCAATGCCACAAGCTGTCCATCCGACCATTTGTCTGATGAGTCAGTCGATCGTGTAAACTCCGCTTAGCCGCAAGATGAGAACATTGTTCTGAGTTATTCGTGATGAATTCCTGTCATGTGACATTTGGAATTCGAAATAAAAAAAGGCCGTAGCAAAATTGCCCTTCAAGCACATTGAGCTGATGTACTACCGAAAAAAAAACATCGATAGTATTCGTACGTTGTAAACCCGATTGGATTCCTATCAACACGAAAATACTCGACAACCGCATTGGTGGCTTTGGAAATGTCGGTCGGATCTAGAAACGACCCTACACAATTTAGAATATAGTTGTAAGTTTTATGATTCAACAGCTTTTGAACCCATTCATGGTCATTATTCACTGCACAATAATATATCATTGGTGTACCACTTGTCTGATCAATATTATGTTCCAAGCCCTTCTCTATCAAAATATTCACTATTTCGAAATCGTTGTGTATATAAGCGACGTTTAGTAACAACAAATCGAAGTGACTGTCGTGTTCAAGTAATATTTTAACCCGCTTTAGGTCGCTATGTTTCACAGCATAATTTATCATTGGTTTACTACTTCGTTGATCAATATTATGTTCCAGGCCCTTCTCGATTAAGATATCCACCATTTCAAAATCTCGGTTTGCATAAGCGACGTCTAGCAACGACGCATCGAGGGGAATACCGCGTTCGATTAATATTTTAGTCCACTTTATGTCACGATACTTCACAGGATAAAATAACAAACATTTGTAAGTGGGAGAACCCTGGTTCAGATATCTCTCCATTAAAATCTCCACCATTTGTGAGTCTTCTTTACGGTAAGGGATTTCTAGTAACCCAACATCCAAGAAAGCGACGTGTTTAAGTAATTTTTTGAACTGCGCCCTTTCACGAGACACCAATGCATCTCGGACCAATATGTTGAAAATTCTCTCGTAGTTAAGAATGGAAGCCATCTGTAGTGCGGTACGGCCATTCTTATTTTTAAGGGTAACATCAATACCACTTTTCAGAAGTAATTCAACCACTTTAACATTGTTAAATCGGACAGCCAGGTGTAGTGCAGAATCTTTAAACCGATTCGTCTTATTTAATTGGCACCCACTGTTTATCAACAATCTGACAATATCTACATTATTTACTGCCACCATTAAAGGTGTGTTCACAGTCTTGTCCCTGTGTTTTGTATTGGCAGGGGAATATTCATTATTCAGTAACAACTCTACACAATTTGTATGATGATTCGTGATAGCCGCAAGCAATGGAGTATTACCATACAAATCAGTATATTCAACGCTGGCTCCGCGTTTCAGCAACGGCACAATGCTATCATAATCACCATTCTTACACGACCTCAATAGTGCTGTACTTTTACGGTTTCCCATAGTGCTTGTGGTGATGTGTTTGATAAATCTACACAAACCGTGTCTGTACTTAATGCCTATTTGTTTGAACACCTCTGTTTCCATACAATGGATGAAATAACATTCCAGTAAGCCATCTATCTGGGGTTTTTTTACTGTTAAGTCTTTGCCTGTATTATTGTTCTGAATTATAAAACCCATTAAAACGTAAAAAACCAAAATCAAAAATCTATATAACATTACACCCAAGTGCAGCCAGTTTAAATGTGTATCTAGGAGCAGAACAGTAAGACGTTAAACCCCATTCATTTCATTTTTTAAATTAATAATCAGTAATTATTAATGTTACAGGTGCATTATGGGAGTTTAGATAGAGCTGGTAGTTCTCACTATAATAGTTAACCAGCGACCGCCAGGCAGCGCCCACATTTGGATAGATGGATAGAGAACAAGCTAAACAAACAATTCAGGGCCATATGCGCGAATATCAGCAGGAACCAAGATCTTTGGGTTATAAAGATGTATGTCAAGTTTCATCAAAATCGGATCAAAATTGTGTCTTTTAGGCGGTCCACAACCTTTATGTACCATATATTTACACTATTTGCATGCGAGGGGTGGCCATTTTGTCAGGCAGTTTTGGTCCGATTTTCACGAATTTCAAACTCAACCATCATTAGGGTGTAAAGGTGATATACTAAAACGTTGTTTTGAATCGGATAAAAATTGTGACCTCTAGAGGGACCACAAGCTAAAAACGTGATTTGTCGTACAATCAGGGGCCATATTTCAGGAAGTTACGATCCGATATCCGCAAATATCGAAAGCAAACCAAGATATTGGGGTTATAAACATGCATTTCAAGTTTTATCAAAATTGTGACCTTTCGAGGGTCCACAACCTTGATATGACATATTTTTACACTATTAGCGTACGGGGGAAGTCATTTTGTCCGTCAGTTTTGGTCTGATTTTCATGAAACAATTGTGGACGGACGTCCAGACGCGACGACAATATGCAAGTCCACATGAAATTGTGGGCGTATAAAAACTAGATAATGTAAAGTTAATTTGTTGAACATTTCAGTCAAATTGATCACTCTGAACAGAGATATTAGTTTTGAATTTTAGAACTAGCCTCGATCATCATTAGTAAAGTCGGTACGATAAAAAATATAGTTTCAATTATCCATTTTGGATTTAATCATCAATGAGCGTTGAGCAGCAGATCGGATTCAAGTCCAGTAAATATCGCCGAGTAGCGATGACATCGAGAGTTGATTATGGTCTGGATAAGTTAATGTTTAAATAATGATTTAGATAACATTTCAGTCCTATAGAAAGACCTGCATTAAGCAGATTTAGTTCATGCGGGGATCACGTGGGTAAGACGCTAGCTCACTAGCCTGGAGGTCGGGTGTTCGATCCCTGCATTGGCCGAGAAAGTTCATCCAGATTTTCCGGCGTGGTTCTCCCTTGTCAGTGACGCAGGACGGAGGGACTGACAAGGAAAGCTGTCTAGTCGTTCGGATGGGACGAAAAACCGAGGTCCCGTGTACACATTGGCGTACACGTAAAAGATCCCTTGGCAGTTGGAATTCGATATAAGAGTAGGCCGTAGTGCCGCTGTCCGGGCAAAATTTCCCTCATAGCACACTGTATGGCGTATGCCCGTCTTCATTAGCCCAGGTTAGGAGCAGAACAGTAGGACGTTAAACTCCATTTCATTTCATTTTTAGTTCATGCATAATGTACGTTTAACTGCAGTTACTAATTATTAATATTTACTGCAGTCTGGCGTAATCATGTTTGTTTTTTTAGAATTTAGTATTGATATACTACTTACGTGCAGCCAGTTGAAATGTATATCAGTAATTATTAATTTTAACGATCTACTGTAGCCAGGCGATGTGTTTGTTGGTTTGAATTTTAAAATCAGGGTATTCCCCTTTCTATTGATGTCATACCACGTGACAACTTTTTCTATTGACGTCACATAACCTTTCTCTATTGATGCATACAATTGACGTGACCTATCCTGGGACGGGTTTACCAGTGTGTTTGTATTAGGCCAAGTTATACATACAGGGAGCCACGGTGGCTAAGTTGGTAAGACGCAAGCTCGCTAGTCTGGATGTTTCGTGTTCGATCCCTGCGATGACCGAGAAAGCTGTCTAGTCTTCGAATGAAACGGAAAGTCGAGGTTCCTTTGACAGATGGAATTCAATATAAAAGTAGACCATAGTGTCGCTGCACGGACAAAAGTTCCCCCATAGCACCCCGTATCGCGTATGCCAGTCTTCAATAGCCAGTATATGAGCATAACAGTAGGACGTTAAACCCCATTTCAGTTCATGTCATGTTATATATACATACACAATTTCTTTAAATTATATATTATTATTGGCATACTTATTAAACAAGGGAGTTTCTCAAATATCTATATATTTTTTTACATGTGACGGCCTTAAGGAGCATAAAAGACTTTTATTCATGTAAACGATTGAGGTGTTACATAGAAAGTAAAGAAGCCAATACAGTCGTCTTAATGTGACGTCGTTACGGAGCATAAAAGGTCTGACTATTATAAAAACGGTGACAAAGACATGTATACACTGCACTTACAAACAGAAGATAAAAAGAAATCACCATATAAAACGGTGGTTCCACAACCTTGATATACCATATATTTACACTATTTGAGTACGAGGGGTGACCTTTTAGTCCGATTTTCACGAATTTCAAACTCAACCATCATTAGGATGCAACGGTTATATACTAAAATGGTCTTTCAAAACGGATAAACATTATGACCTCTAGAGGGACCACAAGCTAAAAACGCGAATTTTCGTACAATCAAGGGCAATAATTCAGGCAGTTACAATCCATATGCGCAAATATCACAAGGAACCAAGATCTATGGGTTATAAACATGTATATCAAGTGTCATCCAAATCGGATCAAAATTGTACCTCTAAAGGGCCCACAACCTTGATATACCAGATGTTTACACTATTTGCGTACGAGGGGCGGCCATTTTGTCCGACAGTCTTGGTCCGATTTTCACGAAATTCAAGCTCTACCAACATTACAGTGTAACGATGATATATTTGAAAATTTTTGTAAAACAGATAAAAATTGTGACCTCTAGAGGGACCACAAGCTAAAAACGCGATTTTTCGTACAATCATTGATATATTTCAGGAAGTAACGATCCGATATGCGCGAATATCGAAAGCAACCAAGATTTTTGGGTTATAAACATGCATTTCAAGGTTCATCAAAATTGGATCTACATTGTGACCTCTAGATGGTCCACAACCTTGATATACCAGCGTTAAAGTGTTTGCGTACGGTGGGGGGGGGGGCATTTTGTATGTCAGTTTTGGTCAAATGTTCATGAAATTCGAACTCAACCAACAATACTTTGTAACGGTGATATATTTGAACGGTTTTTTAAATCAGATAATAGTTGTGACCTACAAAGGGACCACAGGCTAAAAAAGGGCGATTTTTTGTATAATCAGGGGCCATAATTCAGAAAGTTACAATCCGATATGCACAAATATCGAAAGGATTCGAGATCTTTGGGCTATAAACAAGCATATCAAGTTTCATCAAAATAAGATTAAAATTGTGACCTCCACAGGGTTCACAAGCTTTGATATACCATATTTTTTACACTATTCGTGTACAAGCGGCGGACATTTTTTCCGGCAATTTTGGTCCGATTTTCACAAAATTCGAACTTAATCTTCATTACGGTGTATCGGTGATATAGTCAAACGGTTTCTTAAATTGGATAATAATTGTGACCTCCAGAGGGACCACAAGCTAAACAAAAGACGATTTTTCGTACAATCAGCTGCCATAATTCAGGAAGTTACGATCCGATATGCGCAAATATCGAAAGGGACCAAGATCTTTGGGTGATAAACATGCATTTCAAGTTTCATCAAGATTGGTTTAAAATTGTGACCTAAAACGTGATTTTTCATACATGTGTTCAATGAAAATGCAAACAATAACCCTGACTCAACTTCACCGGGGGTGTGTTAGGTATTTACAGTTAAAGCTATACACCATTCTTATGAAATACACCAATGATCTCACCAATGTTAGGGTCTTGTTTTGAGTCTAAATATAATAAAGTCTCTTATTTTATCAGCTACCAATACAGCATTTACATTATTACGTTCACATTTATTAAAAAAAAATCCCGATAATATTTTGGAGAATGAAACTGCTTAATTTTGTGTTAAAACTCCTTAACATCCCGCACCTAAGGGCCGACCAACTAATTCAATATTTGTGATATGTTTTCAAACAACTTACACCCGTCAGTATTCATCTGAAAATGAAGAACGGTGTCCCAAGCTGTATTATGCGGTGTCTGGATAAAAAACCAGACATTTATTTTATAAAAACAATGTGTAGGTGAAATGTACCTTTCGTTATTCAGTACGGCACATGGGCCATTCACTGCATAGACCTCTAAAGGAACGGCGATAGAGTATCAGGTCACCCAACGAAAAAAATGACCAGAAATCTTAAAAGGGTTACGTGTCCGGATAAGCATTTTTGACGTTCACGTCCAAACAACTCAATATTTTGAGCTGAAATTTTGAGGCAGGGTAAATACACCATTCCTCTATATTGTGGCGCTTAAATTTCATACGAACTCGGACTTTTATTTTTGAGACTATTTTCAAATCGGGGTAGTCCCTTTAATTGTATTTAGTATATCATTTACATTCATGTCGCTAATATTATATTTATTTTAACATTATATTTGTAACGTATATTCATGTAGTTAATATTATTACAAATAATGGATTTACCCCATACAAAGCATTTAAACGTAAACAGTTACTGTGAAAAAAAATCCTTCCTTGTTCAGTGAGATAGAAAACCAAATGACTTGTTTATAACTAAGATGAAGTGAACTAGTTACTAAACCCAGCTGATTGGATAAGGGCAAACCAATCATAATCAGCCATTTGGAGAAAACATGCACCGATCACATGTTTTTTGACCCGAGTGTACTGACGTCACTTGTATCTCTCAAGCTGAAACATTGTATCCCAATAAGCTAATAGCTACAATAACGTAGTATTTACTCTATTTAAAGA